TGGCATTCGGCACTTTGCTTGTGTTCCGGGATTCGAACCCTTGACGTGGGGATGCTCTAATACCAATTGTTAAGGACCTAACTATTGATCCCAAAAGCCCAGACTTAATGGGGATTGGAATCCCGCCCTTTTAGACCCTAACAGACTAGAATACTAAAAACTAAAAGAACATCCCAAGTGTTGAGATGAAAATGTGGCCGATTGTGATTGGTCATTTCTTATTTAGACCCTGTCTGGGAGTGATTTTCCTCCCCCACAAAATTGATTTTTGTGCCCTTTTTATCTGACCGTTTCTCACACAAGCAGCAGCCAAAATCTCTGAATTGTTACTGTTACTGCGCTTCAACGGTCATAAAATGGATTTTAATGAGATTTTAATCAATCCCAGACAACCCCTTAAATTAGCTAGGAATGAAATTACATTTTCTAGATGATTGATGTTGTTGTTTTAAGCCTAAAATGGTGGTTATCCTAGCTACATTTATGAGAATGAACATTCTTTTTTTGTTTGAATGAAATTACACTTTCTAGATGGTTGATGTTGTTGTTTTAAGCCTAAAATGGTGGATATTCTAGCTACATTTATAAGAATGAACATTCTTTTTTTGTTTTTCCACAATATTGTGGAAAAGTTGACATAAATGTTCCAAATCTGGCTGGGCTTGTGGCACTTCAAGTTTATTTTTGATCAATGATTTATTTAGTTCATATTGCATTCTAGATTTGGCAAGAGTAGAATAGTTGTTATTTCTTTTTCAAGTGGAAAATGAAAATTGCTCTTGTTTTCATGCAGACATCTCAATGCGAGTTTTTATCATTCTTAGAAAATCCCTCACTAAATAATTTATTTGGTTGTTCGTGGATATGCTGCAGGAACTCGCAGGAATAATCAACTTATCAGCATATTCTAGCTTTAGTTTGTTTGAGTGTCGCAAGGCATTTGCTGGTTCTAGAACACCAGAGCCTGGAAACGGTACTAATGTCAACTGTAACATAACACTGTTATCAAAGTTTCTAATCTCTTCATAGAGGCTTGGATGAATCTGCTTCGAACTTTCCAATATATTATCTTAATAATAGGTTTCTTTCTACTCTGTAGAGGAGCACATTGGTTTAGATGATAATAGGTATATTGGGGATCTACTTGCGGACTTTAAGGCATCAAAAGACCGGAGCAAAGGAGAGATTCTGCATTGTAAATTGACTTTCAAAAAGAAGTTATTTCGGGAATCAGATGAAGCTGTTACAGACCCAATGTTTGTGCAGTTATCCTACGTCCAAGTGCGTATTTCTTGTTTCAATGAAAATTTATTTTTATTATTGCTGCACTCAATGATATAATTTTTTAAGCAAAATATATTTCTTATATATTCTTGGCATTATATGGTTCTTTTTGCAGTTACAACATGATTATGTGCAAGGCAATTATCCTGTTGGAAGGGATGATGCTGCACAACTATCTGCTCTGCAGATTTTAGTTGAGATTGGATACCTTGTTTCTCCTGAATCATGCACGTTAGTTGCTTTACACATTTTATTTTGCTTTCTTCAGTTCAATCTGTAGCATTGGTCTTGATTGCTAATGTATAGCATGATGCTTTTATCATCTTTTCTCAGGTGTTGTGAAGATTAATTTTTTACTTAGCTATGTTCCAATTTGTGTTCAGGGATTGGACATCTCTGCTAGAACGATTTCTACCCAGACAAATTGCTATTACTCGAGCAAAGAGTGACTGGGAACTAGATATTCTCTCTCGTTACCGCTCAATGGTGAACCATTAATATGAGATTCCTTTTTCATTGATAATTTGCTCAAATGAAAATAGAATACTGACACAGTAGTATTAATCGACACTTTACTTGTTTCTTATATACTTAAAAAATGTTTGAAAAGTCTCTACTGGAAATCTAGATTTGAACAAAATTATATTTTCATGACATTCTTTTCAGATTATCCTTCCATTTCCCCTGTAACTGAAAAAATTCCTCAGTAAGTGATACTTTTTGAATCTTAAACCGATTATGGTATGTTCAATGATGCTCCTCACCATTTCCTCTTCCATCCTTTTATTGTTATAAGCTTTTATTTCTTAGAAGTTTTACGTTGAGGTGTATAATTTTAAGAATATGTGAAGAGCTTTGTGCCAAATACATGAAACGCTAGTAAAAATCTTGTAAAATATTTGTTAATATTTTGTTTGTTGTGCAGGAAAATTTGACAAAAGATGATGCTAGACACCAGTTTCTGCGAATCTTGAGAACACTCCCTTATGGGAACTCAGTTTTCTTTGCTGTTCGTAAAATTGATGATCCCATTGGTCTTTTGCCTGGAAAAATAATTCTAGGGATTAATAAGCGTGGAGTAAGTGGTGATATTTTTCTTTTTGCACATTAGCATGTATTTTTTGTAGCTCATGCAGAAACCCGAGTATAATTCCTCATTGTCCACAGGTTCATTTCTTTCGCCCAGTTCCAAAGGAGTATCTACATTCTGCAGAATTGAGGGATATAATGCAATTTGGCAGCAGTAACTCTGCTGTATTCTTTAAGATGAGAGTTGCTGGCATCTTGCACATATTTCAGTTTGAAACTAAGCAGGTAGGTTGTATTGTGATTGGCAACTAAGCTTTTGGCATTTGTACCCAAGTTTTTTCCCAGTGGTCTGTGATTATGTCATTTAGCATTGACATTCATGAAATGCAGGGAGAAGAAATTTGTGTTGCCCTTCAAACTCATATAAATGATGTTATGTTACGGCGCTACTCCAAAGCACGTGCTCTAGCCAATGTTTCAACTATTGGACATCTTCCTGATAATGTTAGACCTCATAACATGGACATCAATGAGAAACGGGTTCAGGAGTTGTCTAAATCTCTTGAAGAATCAGAGAAAAAATCTAGCCAAGTGAGTATTAGTTTAAAGAAAGAGAGCGTAAATACCTGATTTCTAGAAGCATTTTCCCCATTTGTGTTATAAACTGCACGTTTTGGACTTATCTCTTTTCCTTTTTTGTAGATAAATGCGCATGCAAGTGACAAAACTAAATCTGTTAAATGCTGAAATTAAAGTCATATCATGCTTTCTTGGTAATAGAATTAGATAAATTCTGTGTGCATGAATAATGTTTCCAAATGACTAAACTAGAGGGATGAAAACAAACGGTAACGTGTCTGGAATTGTCCAGACAAAAACTCCTATAGCACTAAGGAAACTGATAGGATCCCCTGCTCTGCCTGC